ATTGAAGGAAGAATCTGTGCCTAGGGGGTCCATATGAAGAAACTCAGACTGGTCTAATGTTACATTCCTTGCACGGGTATCCCACACCTTTAGTAACCATTCCCAGGGATATTCCCCAGGCTTCTGCTTGCACGTATTAGAAAACTCACAGACCTTTATCAGTATAGTGCACTTATGCTTGACCCATCATCTGAATCTCACCTTTAGTAACTTTCTAAGACTTAATTGTAGTTACAGGTCTAGAGGAAATAATGGGTGGTGAGGGTGTTTCCTGGGTGCTCTCAGCAATATCTTGTAAGGCATCCCCCCTAGGTAATGTTCCAGATGCAGCCCCACCTGGCATTTCAGCTTGACCAACTTGGTTAATCTGCTTGGCTGTGGGTTGTTTTTACTGATAGTGGATTAATCCCCTCAGGTGGGAGGGGTGGCTCATTCATCTCTAGACGATCAATATCCTCCTCTTCTGGAACATCAACCTGTATGTTCCCATCCCATGTTTCAGGGTCCCAATTCTTTCCGATTAATGTCTTACTTTAATATCAGACACTGTTATAGATCTACACTTCACCTGACATTGTAATTCATCTACTAATATGATGAGTCCCTTGATTTGGTTTTCAGTAATGTCAGCTCTATTGCTAGAGGAGAGAAGGCTCTCCTTTGTAGCCCATGCAGATAATTTTAGGCCTGTTATTTGGCAGTTGAGACATGCTTCTGAGGTTATGAATTGATCCCTTTCCTTGATCACATTTTCGATTGTGAGGATGACTAGCCAACCAGCTTCCCTATACTTCTCGTCCTGTAGAAACTGCTGGAAAATATCAAGTACACGATCACCCAGAGCCTCTCCCCACATGAGCACTTCATCTATTGGTGGTGATATTGTAGATATTAGCTTTGCAACTTCACACCATGGATTAACACCACCCTCTCTGGTAATAGTGGCAGATTTATCCATGCCTTTAGGTTTAGAGGCAGCATTCTCAGTGCTGTTCAGCCTAATCAGGCCGTGGAACCAATATGAGAAGCCCATATTTATGATATTGTTTCTCTAGAACAACTCCAAGTACCAATTGTGTTAGGTAGGGTTCTCTAGAGAAATGAAACCAGGGCATTTATTATTTTATAAGTAAATAAGAGGATAGGATTATATGACGAGAAGGAATATAATAGCCAATTAGTCCACACAGCAGTACAGAGGGTTCAGTTCAACTCACTTCTGTGAAACAATTACTGTACTGGAAGTCCTTTAACTCACGTGGGCTGCTGGGTCCAAGGTCAAGGAAGCAGACAGCAGAGGAGTCCTCCCTAGTGCAAAGCAAGCAGAGTCTTCCCACAGGCAGCAAGCAGCAGGGTGGGTCACCAACAGTCAGTAGCTTGGGAACTTAGCAAAGCAGGCCCCGATGTGATATTGAACACAAGCAATACAAGGCGACAGGATCCACCAGCCTCAAGCTCAAGTGACATATGCACCAGCAGTATGGCAAAGCAGGTCTCGGAGGAGCCTCAAGCATTAGAGACACGATCCACTGATTGGCCTGACCCACAGGTAGTGTATCTCACAGGTTGAGGCAGAGAACTAGCTACAGCAGCAGCAGTATGCACACTCCAGCACACTCCGATCTCCAGATAGCAAGAGAGAGGAGGGTGGGCCTTGCATAATCATATATCTCTTTGCCCTCCAATCAAACTGTGACATGATTAACCCCACATGTTCATTTTGGCCAGGTTGGCACAATAAACCTGCCTATCAGTGGGACTAAAGCCCACAAAAAGGGGTGGCATGTTTTCCTACCAGCTATGAACCCCACATCACCCCCTTAGGTGCACTTAGAAGAAACTCAAGGGAGTAGAGTTCGCATTGACTGGGATCACTCCTTCAGTGAGGGGGAAAAGGGAGAAGCCCGTCCATCTGATGCTGTACCACATTGAGACAAGGATGTGAAAGATCAATAGGCCCTCCATGGGAATGAGAGGAGAATCTGGGACCCAGGGACAAGAGCACCTACATTTCAGAGGAGGCAATGATGTTTCTGTGAGTGGTTATGGTAAGGAAAGGGGGAGGAGCAACTTCACATCAAGAAGAGATGCTGGACATTAATCATAGGCAACCACAGGGGGAAATACATCCATTTCTATGGTCTTGTGTAGACACAGAATATGATTTTACCCAATTCTCTGTGAACCATGCCATGGACTGTGCTCTATGCTGACCTTACATGCTGGCTTTACAGAAAACATGGCATCCCCCTGGGGTCACACCAGAAGGACTCAGCATCATGGAAGCTTGACTGAATGAACTGGTTTCTACCTCAAAAATACTTATACCCATGAGTTAGGGCAGAAATACCCCTGTGGTGGAAGATGCAAGGATGGCCACCCCAAGACTGTGAAATTAGCTGGTGTTGGACCTTGGGTGGGCCCCCTGGCTAAGTGGGTATCCAATGAAAGGAGACCCAGAACCATCATGTATTTGGTGCCTCAATGTTCCCTTTGCATTCATATGACAGTTGTTGGTGTGAGGGGAAAGGGTCTGCCCTTGTAAGACAGTGGTTCTCAACTTGTGGGTTATGACCCCTTTGGGGGGTCAAAGGACCCCTTCACAGGGTTCGCCCAATTCATAACACTACCAAAATTAGTTATGAAGTAGCCACAAAAAGAATGTTATGGTTGGGGGTCACCACAACACGAGGAACGTTATTAAAGGATCATGGCATTAGGAAAGTTGAGAACCTGATGATGCAGGAACTTTTCCACTAGCACCAATTCCCCTTCTCAATGTAAACAGCGCTCAAGCAATCGGGAACCCAATCTGTACCAAGCAACAACTGACGGACTGCAGCTCACATGTGGACAGTATTCGCATAAACTCCTTGTATATCAACAGTACCTTAGGTTTTATATCACTGGATAAATTATTGATATTATCGTTGCAATCATTTTATACCCTAGATGGTTGACATTGTTTTTTTTATCTTAGAATATTTTTTGAGGAATTTTTAGTGTTTTTGCTTTTTGTCATTGAATTTGTTGATTCTGGTTGTGGTTGTTCTTGTCATAATATGACCGCCAAATAAACCAGAGTCATTCATGACCTGAGGACAGTCAGATGGATTCTCGGCCCCCATGTAATTCTAGCCCCAATCCAACAACACTTGGTTCTTATTACACAGCCCTGTGTTCAGAAAGAGTTCACTGAAGATAAGGGTGCTACAGCAAGTGTGGTGAAGAAAGGAGATCGTGCCACGTTTTTGATTGGAATAGTGTCTGGAGTCTTAAAGTCTTACATTCAAACAAACAGCCATCCAAGTGAGGTGTCAACGAAGTCCACACGGAAGAAGTACACACCAGCCTGTGTGATCCAAAGTTGAAAATAATAAAATCCAAATATGATTCAGGAAACATTATTGGAGCTTAAATTATGAACATCAAGTTTGTAGAGGGTTATGGAGGACAGTGGACACCTCAAATCCATGTATAGTGTGTGGTGAGATTGGGCCTCTAGTAGATCTCCTCTATTCACAGGGGAAGACTTGAACAGCTGTACTCACATAGAGAGATGATTGTAAACTTGATAATGGTAAATTGAAGCACCGTATAATATGATCCTTGGTCAGTTGACCTCGTTTTTGAGGTCAACCTGAATTTGCACTATTCTAAAATATTTATCAATTGATCCAAGACAGACGTTTCTTCACTGGCTTTTTAAATACATTTTATGTTATTTATTTCTTTTCATCTTTATATCATCCTCATTATTGTTATTTTCTTCTTTCTGTTTTGTTTTTTAAAATTGTTTGTTACATCTCCCAGGTTAGGAAGCACAGAAGGAGTGAATGCAGAGACAATAATTGCTACAATGGTTTACAGGGAATTGGGGCAGAGGAGGGGGGAGAGGTGAATTGGGGAGCAATCAGTGGATGTGGGGGTGGAATAAGCACTGGAGCTGACGTGATGATATATGCAAATGGAGGTGTAGACATATGAATATGATATGCAGGAAACTACTGAAAAACACACAAAAGAGAAACCAAACCTCACATATGGTTACCGAGGGTGAAGGAGGAAGAGTTTTTGCTTAGGAGGCATTGAGTTCATCTGTAATGAGGGTCGAATAATTTGGAGAGGGATAACAATAATGGTTGCACAATTGGAGCGCATTATCAATGGCACTGAATTATAGATGAAGAAGTTGTTGAATTGGGGCATGCTTTGTTGTGTATTTTTTTGCCAAAAATGAAAAGAAATTACATGAATATCAGTGAGTACAGAGAAAAATAAAATGTAAAATTGATTGTGGTAAAGATTGTACAAGTCTTCTTGATACAGTTGACTTTTTAATTGTGTGGTATATAGATGAAGTGCCAATAAAACTGTTAAATAGAAAAAAAGACAACTACCTTAGCTGTTTCATTTGCATACAGTGCTCAGATCCTATTATCTTCCTTATCTTCCTTCTTGTTGGTTGAGAATCAGATCCAAGGCAGTCCAAGAGAACAGCCATCCCTGAACTCCCCATCCTAGTCATTTGCTACCAGAGATTCTGATATCATGTTCTTCATAGAATGCAGTGCTCGAGTGTAACATTAACCCCTGTAGGAGGTACGCCACTGGGCAGTGATGATAATGCATGACTCAAATGGATGCTGCAGGGATTTCAGGCAACAAACAACATCACTATTTGTAAAAGAAACAGTGAAACTGGTGGAAGAAATACATTTCAAAATGAGCAGAGGAAACAGGGAGAGGGTAAGGATAAAGATAACCAGAACCTTTACTCCTTTGGAGGTTTCATTGTATGTTCTTCAGAGGATTCAAAGCTTAATTGTAGCATCACCCCTGTAGGAGGTAAGCTACTGGGCAACGATGATAATGCATGACCCAAAGTGATGTTGTGTAGACTTCACCTAACAAACAACATCAACCTTTATTATTAAAAAGTACAGAGAAATTGGGTGGCACAAGAGGGCAAGAATAACAAGGATGATAAAAATGTCCTGAGGTTCATTTGGAGTTTTCCTTGTAGGGTCTGTGGCCCCCGCCTCATGCATGGACCTTCTGAGATCTCAGTCACTGTCTGGAGAGAGAGGAGAGAAGAGTCAGGGCATCCTCAGAGCCAGGACGTCTGAGTGTCACCCCCAGACCACCTTGTCTCTGCTCACTTGGCCTATATTCCAAGACTTTTCTGTGGATACAGCAAAAATCGATGAGGCCTGGTATCATCCCAGTGGAGAAAGGTCAGGCTACACACACCAGGACCGACCTGGAAACACTGAGCACACAGATGCCTTACTAATCTATTCATCTTAAACCTGCCTCCAAGCACAGTTGTTGTGAAGAAAGCAGCCGATGGTGGGTAAGGGGGAAACTCCTAGACACGTGTGTGTCCATAAAGGCACACGGTCCTTGGACGTCAAGAGTCCTGAGCACCTGTTGTAAACTGATAGGTAGCTTAATAGGCACAGAGTGGGAACGAGGCCCAGAGAGACAATGAGGGGAATAAAGAAGCAAAATGCATTACCTGAAAGTTTCTGTCACTCACTCACTAGCTTCTCCCTTCCCCACCCACTCCCACACTGACATCTCAAACCACAGGAGACTCATACCAGACGAGGTACAGAGGGCCTGCTGCACTTCCTGCTGCTCTTGGGACGTGCTGGGCACAAAGCTGCAGGAGGGTGTGGGCTCTGGAGTGAAGAAGGCACTCGGAATTTCATTGGGATTCATTTCAGTCACAGTCAGTTGGTCGTTAAAGATGTATATGCTGGAGAAAGGAAGGGCCTCAGACAGCTGGACGCATGGACAACCCCATAGCCCTAGCAATCAACACACCCACACTGGACAACCACTTTCCTGCCATGCACGACTCCACCTGCCCCACAGACTCACATAGAATCTGCCTTTGCAGATCTGTCGGCCACCTTCACTAGGTGTATAGTTTTCCCCCACCTCATATAGAGTTTCATAGCTTCCTTCATCTGAAAACAGCCCAAGGGGTTGCTTATTCTAATCATAATTTCAGAGACAGACACAGAGTCACAGATAAGTCATGTAACTTGACTAAGATCACATGGCTAGTGAAGGCTGGAGTTAGGGGGAGAAATCACTATGCCACAGCCTACACTCTTAACCACTAGGCCGGTGTGCTCCTGGGGTCTACTGTTTGGAATTCTGCAAAACTGGGAAAATCCTGAGGAATCCCTGGTCACCATCCCAATCTTTGGCCATAGCCTTGGATGGGTGTTCCCTTTGGACCCCAAACAGCACTAACCTGGAATCGCAGCCAGTTGTCAAAAGGAAGGTCCGTTCGAAGGCACAGACATGGGCCTCACACATATTCTCTATTTCAAAGACAAAGCACAACAAAGCCAGTTAGGGTGTCCATGCTTCACACACACAACAATGATCTTTGTTTCTCATGGCACACTTAGGATGTCACACAGGGACAGCTATCCCTGCGAGTACTGGATAGTGTCAGCATTCAGGAGGGCAACAAGAGGTTCAATTTCTTCCAAATGATAAGTCCCCTACTCTCTGTCATGTCCTGTGACAATCTCTTCACAAGTGAATATGCCTCATTTTTCACAGTAGCCAAAGAGAGGGATATTACTAGTCTCATTTTGTAAATGAGGACAAGAGATTAAACGGGTGCCACAGCATGACAGAGTGGTGATCCAAGATGAGAGCCATGAAAGTTCATGTCCTGTGTCTCTTACACAGCGGTTCTCAACCTGTGGGTCTAAACCCCTTTGGGGGTCTTACGACCCTTTCACAGGGGTCACCCGGTTCATAACAGTTGCTAAATTACAATTATGAAGTAGTAACAGAAATAATTTTATGGTTGGGGTCACCGCAATATGAGGAACTGTATTAAAGGGTTGGGGCATTAGGAAGGTTGAGAACCACTGCTCTAACACCTAGGCTGTGGTAAGACAGGTAAGGAGTCATGGCTGTGGGTCAGTCAAATGTGAGCTGGGGTGGGGGTTGGACAGCATAAAGGAAAGGGAAGGGAAGGGAGGAGGGAAGTCTGTAGACCTCAGAGTGGGAACAGTAGGGAGCAAGAGGGAGAAACTTGACGCTCACCGTCCTTGAACTGTCCACGGACCGAAAAGCAGAGCATCTTCTTCTGAAACAGTAAAACAGTTCAGTTCAGGCTCCCAGGAACTCCGTACCTCTCCTACCCACCTCTCTCCTCTGGCCCCAAATCACAGCAGAAGCAGCAGCTCACCGTCTGGGCACCCACGTCTACCATGAAGGAGCTGAGGTCATGCTGGGTCTTGGGCAACACACTGAGGAAGTCAACAATCTCACTTTTTGTATGTTTCACCAACTGAACATACGGGCCTGTGGGCAAAGTCAAGAGATGGTCAAGGGCTGCCTCACTCACTGGGTCCCTATGATTTACCCTTTCACTCCTCCCGCCCCATCCTATCTTCAGTCTCACACACGTACCAATGTCTTTGAACTGCTTCATAGACTCACTGTCGTTGGAGTACTTGGCCAAGCTGATTCTAGGAAGAAAGCAGGACAAGGAGGTGCGGGACTGGTTAGTATGTGCTGGGGAAGCAGAGGTCCATGGCTGTCCTCTGGTCTGACATACTCACAGGGACGGACGCTCAGGGTTGAAGAGAGTAGTCAGTGAGAAGCAGGCATTGTCATGGTAAGCACTCAGGAGACCCTGTCGGTCCCCACCATCATAGATTCTGTAATACCTAAGGGAAGCAAAGGCCCCTTAGAGATGTAACAGACCCCCCTGCCCCTATCATAATCAGGCCTGTGTATTGGTAGATGGGTCCATCTCAATGTGTAAGCTGCTTCAGGACCAAGGGGTTCTTACTGCTTCAGGAACTTCCAGACGAGATTCTTCAGGGTCTGTATTCCAAAGACATTCCCCTGGAAAGGCAATGCTCCTAAGAATCTTAGCTGCCATCCTCTCCTCACCCACTACTCCAAGCCCTGCTTGGTGCTGCCTCCTCACCTTGCAGACTGGTAACTTCTTGTCATCCACAATGTCAGAGAAAACAGGTGAGGGCAACCCCTGACGATCCTGGAGGGGTGGGAAGGTGATGTCAGCAATGCTGACTGGGATGGGGGAACTTGAGGATCAGGGAAAAGGATGTGCACACTAAAGAGGGAAGGGTTAGAGGTCAGGGTAGGTGAAAAATAGTAATGGACCTTACAGATTCCATGGGCATGATTCTCGTGGGGTCTTCACCAGAGAGACCAAGTGCTCGTGGAGAATGGCAGAGAAAGTCCTTAGGCTTTAAAAGCTTCCCCACGGGCTTCCTTCCCAGGGAGATTGAGGCCCAATACAAACATTTAACCTGGGCAGGGTCTAGGGAACTCAGGGCAGGTTGTGGGTGGCATTATGTAGCAGGCAGAGGAATCAGGGAAAAAGAAATACACTCACCAGGCTTAATAACTTGGGGAACAATTGCAGGATGTCACTGTTAAATGTCAAGGCAAGAGAGAAAATCAGAGCTTGCCTGCTTGGTTGAAACAGGCACACCTGCCCAGGAATACAGATCTGTGTGTCTCAACTACTTTTCAATGTCACCGCCCCCCCCCCCATGGACCCTGGGCCCTCCACATAGACTCACACAGATAGAGAACTGGGGGATGCTAACTCCATGACCCTCTCTTCCCCAGGGTATCACAAGGCATAACTGACCTCATGTTGCTGGGCTTATCCGGAGAGATGGTGCACAGAGGCTTTCTGCCCACACAAATCTCTTCTGGCTCCAGCCCTTTCCCTGTGTCCATCTCCTCTTCAGCCTTCATGTGCAAGGAAAAGGAGGAAATATGAATCAGGGAGTGTGACCGAAGAGAACACTTTCCCCTTCAATTCCAGCATCTACCACAAAAAGCCTTATCACATGTCTTTTGTCACCACGCTAATGAGTCCTGCCTCCTTCCTTTCCCAGTGTGCTCTGGCGACTGCGGCTCACTTGACTTTCTACGAGGTTCCTGCTCTTGATGGTGGGGTCCTTCTGCCCAATGGTGGGCAGGCCAATCACCTGGCAGGGTCTAGTGTTGCTCAGGGTGAAGGACAAAAGCTATTGTGAGAGAAAAGGCTCCAAGAGGTGACATCTGGGACAAATCTGCCCTCCGCCCACTTGCCCTATCCCCACCACCACCCTCAGTACGAGCAAACCCCAAGGCCTCACTTCGGGCATGTTCTCCTCATGGATCTGAAGGGAGCAAGCCATGTCCTTTCTAACATTCAGTCCCGTTTCAGTAGCACGGTGCATCAGTCCTTCAAGAATAGGAAACGAGGGGTCAGGTGAATCAAAGGGTGCAGCTGAACCAGCCTAAGCACCAAAATTCCCTAAATTAACATCTCAATCATCCCTCCCACAAAGACCACTCTGCACTCAACTGCCCCAGAATGACTGCTGTCACACATACCAGGATCTGAGTGGAGTCTCAGAAGGTCATGAGCTTCCTGGCAGACCTCATCTCCTTTCATCTTGGTCACCTGCAGAGACAGAGATGGGGATTAGTGCATTAGGCCTCAGGTGGTAGGAGGGGAACCAACAATGGAAGAAGTGGTGGTGGGTCTGGGAATGGCCACACACCTCTGGAGTCGGCTTTACTTCTATTAGTTTCCCATCTTTTGACTCTTTCTGCGCAGACTGGGGCACAGTGGAGGGGATGTCAAAGAGAGGACTCTTTAAAGTGGACAAGCGGACAAGAGGATAAGAGACTTGAGTAAATACCAGGATGTTTGAAACCCAACATCAAGTAAGACACTCCCATCTTAGCCCACCCAATTGCTCCCAACTAGCCTTGACCATGCCCTGACACACACTATCCTCATCCCAAATATTGCTACTGAGAATCTTCAATGCAAGTTCAATGCTGGCACTCTCTTGCAAGAATTGGGCCTGTATTTTCTCACAGTGACATTCAGCGAGAGCTACTTGAGACCAGAATCCTTGCTCAGCATGGACCCTCCAATCGTCCTATACCCACTTGGTTCTCTCCCTGTGCCAGAGTGAAGGGGACATGGAATTGACCCTGGGACAAATTCAGTAGCCAATACCTGTCATATATCATTCCAAATGGAGTCTTGGAGCATTAGCAGGGATAGAAGAGGCCACTACCATGATAGAAATACAGAATGAAAATAGACCCAACCATGTGTTCCTTACACAGAGCTTTAAAAGTGCTTCCACTCTTAGACCAATGTCCATTATTTCTAACTTTTGTATCAGATGTGGGCATTATAAACACTCTTTCTGTATATTCTGAATTTTTCTTCCAAATAGTCAACTTCGAGTTTTGTAACATGCTACTCCTTTCCTAAGCTTCTGGGAGAGCCCTTTTCAGGCAGAACCTGTACTTATTCAAACCAGTCACACATGTGTAGAGTGCAGCTACTGTGTAGAGAGAAGCTACTGTGCAGAAAGCAGCTGCTGTGTTGAAAGCTACTACTCTGTTAAAAGCAGCTACTGTGTTGAAAGCAGCAGTACTGGAGATAAATGACAATTAATGGATATTTACCTTCAGAAAAATGAAGCAAGACCCTTATCTCAATCCATGCTCAAGAATAAACTCAAGGTAGATCACAAACCTTGAATTTAAAACCCAAACTATTAGGGCCATCAATGAGGGAATTGGGACCAACTTGAGAACTTTGGCACAAGGAATATATAGGCTATTAGAAATAGGGAAGTACACAAACACAGAGGAGGCACAAATTGACAAATGGGATATACTGAAGATAAAACACCTGTGTACATTGAAAGAATTCACCAAGAGAGTAATAAGAGAATCCACGGACTGGGAAAACATCTTTAGCAATGACACATCAGACAAAGGCATTATTACTAAAATCTACAATACTCTGCTAGCTTCCAAAAAGAAAAAAACTAATTGCCCAAGTGAGAGGTGGGCAAAGAACCTGAACAGAAGTTTCACAGGGGCAGAAATCCGAATGGCCAACAAACATATGAGAAAATGTTCCCAATCTTTAGCCATAAGAGAAATGCAAATTATAACAACAATGGGGTACCACCTATCACCCTCAAAGACAGCCCAATTCGAAAAAAAACAGAAAGCAACAAGTGCTGGAGGGGCTGTGGGGAGACAGGAACTCTCATCCACTGCTGGTGGACCTATAAGTATGTGCAGCCACTAGGGAAATCTATCTGGTGATATCTAAAACAGATGGAAATCGAGTTACCATATGACCCAGCCATCCCCCTACTGGGCATATACCCAGAAGAGGCAAGAAACAAACCAAGGCCAGATATCTGTGCTCCAAATGTTAATTGCGGCACAGTTCACAATTGCAAGGAGTTGGAAGCAACCCAAATTTCCATCAACTGACGAGTGGATTAAAAAGCTGTGCTATATACATAGAGTGGAGTACTACACATTGTTAAAAAGCAGTGATAAACGTATGAAGCATATTTCTGCATAGGAAGAACTGGAGGAAATCATGCTAAGCGAAGTAAGCCAAGCACAAAAGGCCAAGTACAACATGAGTCCACTGAGGTAAGCTTCTAAAAAAAATGCAAGAGGGGCATAGGGAAAAAGCTACTGTATACAAACATTCCTGGTGTGAGGACCAGGTAATATGGCAGGGACCAGACCAAATACAGGGATACACATGGTAGACAACAAAAAGGAGGTAGGGAAAGGAAAATAAATAACAATAAAAAATAAATGGGGCACAGGGCACTAACCCACCCAAGGGCAGGGTATTCTTTATATCTCCACAGGGAAAGAGGGACCAGACTTCAACCCAGTGCTCCAAGATGTGAATGCAACATGCCGGGCTGGAGTAGGGAACCTCAGTGGAGAGGTCTGGGAGGCCGGCCCCAATTCCAACTACTAAGTGGACACTTGCTCCTCCCCCCAGAAGAATTTATTTCAAAGGATGGCATTGAATCTACAGCTCCGGGAGAGGGACATATCTGATTGGAGCACACGGGAGCAGATGAAGGGGGAGGAGGAGAGAGTGGAGCACATCCTGGCCCACCAGGCTGTGAGGATGATGTTCCCAATTAGAGCA